TTCCAATTCCTGTCAGGCATCACGAACCTTCCAGAATCTACAAATCCAGGCTTCAAGGAATATGTGATTTCTGCAAAGATGAACAGCAATGAATCTTTGGTGCACTAATCATGGCTGGTTTCCACAAACATCTTAGACATATGGTCTAAGACAAAAGCACTAATAATGTTACAGTAAAATTTATTGTCAACAAGACCAAACACCGGGCATTGGTGGTGCACGCCTGTAGTCCCAGCACTCGGGAGGCAGGGGCAGGCAGATCTCTGTGAGTTCGAAACCAGCCTGGTCCACAAGAGCTAGTTCCAGGACAGCCTCCAAAGCCACAGAGAAACCATGTCTCGAAAAACCAAAAAACAAAACAAAAACAAGACCAAAGAGCTAATTTCCAAAAGCTCATGACTGGTAGATAGAAAAGCCCATTCTGAACCAGGAGCCTCAACCTTACTACCACAATTTTCAAAAACATTAACTTGAAAGCCAGGCGGTAGTGGTACACCCCTTTAATCCCAGCACCGAGGACGCAAGAGGCAGGTGCATCTCTGTGATCCAGGCCAGCCTGGTCTACAGAGTGAGTTCCAGGACAGCCAGAGCTGTTACACAGAGAAACCCTGTCTGGAAAAACAAAGTTGATATAGATAGCATTAACATTTTTCTTTTGTAGAATAGGACCCTGCACAGGTGAAGCTTGAGCTCTAGCCCGGAGCTACAGCCTTCATCACTATTCTGGACAACAGTCCTGGTCCTGCACACCTTGTCCACTGTCTAACAGTGGACTAGGAGTATCAACTTGCTCAAGAGATCTAGAAATGGAAATATTTCCCCACAGGAGACAACTTAATTTTGCTGGCAAAGAAACTACAACACTGGCCGGGCGGCGGTGGCACATGCCTTTAATCCCAACACCTGGGAGGCAGAGGCAGGTGGATCTCTATAAGTTGGAGACCAGCCTGGTCTACAAGAGCTAGTTCCAGGGCAGCTCCAAAGCCACAGAGAAACCCTGTCTCGAAAAACCAAAAAAAAAAGAAACAACACTGATGTAAAGTCTATTCCAATCAGTGCAAATGCTAAGGTGCAGGTCTAAGAGCAAACAGCAGGGCCTGGGAAGCACTGGAGTTATGGGGACTGTGGAGAACTGCAGCCTGCTAATTCCATGACTAGCTCCCTCAACTTGCCTTCTAGTGATGACCAAAACACTCAAACCACAGTAGAGGAAGCTGTAAATGTGTTAAGTCTGCAGGAAGGTGTGTCAACACACTCATCAGGAGCACTCACTAGTAGAAAAGCTATTCACATATGACGAACAATCTTCTACAGTAAATGTACATAGCTCACAAGGAAGCATCTGCTCTCCTACTCTAAGGTTTAAAGTCTACTGTATTCTTCAGGAGGAACACAACATGAGTTTTAATGCAGACAGCAAGAAACCACAAAGAGAACTGCTCTGTACCTCTTCAGCTTCATCTTCTTGATCCCAATTCCTATCTGTTAATTCCTTCTCAGCAATTCTTTTGGCCATTTTTGTGAACCTAGAATACAGAAAATAGAAATAAAATGTTTGCTTTTCTGCACCAAGATAGCTCTTACAAATAAATTTTCTGTTGCAGTCTTCATTTATTTTGTAATAAAATCACAAAATAGAGAAATTTAAGAAAAAGCAGTTAGCGGGTTTAAATAAGTGAGATATACTTAGAAGACTTTGCTCAAAGGGAAGGAAATACAGTAGGAAATTAAGGAAAACACGGAGTTCAGCAAAGTTAATATTACTTTTTTAATTAATTTTTTTTTTTACATGTAACTTAAGAAATCTAGTCCAGCATAGGATCTGGTAAGCATGCTCCTGATGCCAGTGAAAACTGCTTCAGTGAGGCTTTACAATGGGCTGGGGGACTCCAGTGGCACATATTCAATTACTATTTAAAAAGGCAGGCACAGATACCTGAGGAACACTGGCACTCTTTCTAAATAAGAAGCCATTCAGAAATATTAAATATCTATTTATCTTTCAAAATCTACAATATTTACATAGTATATTGTACATACAGTAAAGCCCTTAAGTCAATACAAATATCCTTGACATAAACAAAACATTTTCAATATTTAAAATTTAAAGATGACTCATAAGTTGTTTATTTTATTTTATTTTTTTGGTTTTTCGAGACGGTTTCTCTGTGGCTTTGGAGGCTGTCCTGGAACTAGCTTGTGTAGACCAGGCTGGTCTCGAACTCACAGAGATCTGCCTGCCTCTGCCTCCCAAGTGCTGAGATTAAAGGCACCACCGCCCGGCCATAAGTTTATTCTTGGGTAAGGATTTTAATAATTTAAAAAGTATTGGAAATACTTTTGCAACATGAGTCCTTTCCTTAAGGCTACAATTGATAGAAATGTCTAATTGACATTTAACTGCCCTGAGTTACATGTTTTGTAAAGTTAATACATTACTTACAAATTCAAAATCTTTATTGCTATGGATGCTTCAAAAGTACCTCCCAGGGCTGGAGATGGCAGATAAGTGTTTGATTCAAGTACCCACCAGAAGCTCACAAGCTGAGCAAGCACACACCCACCCAAACAATAAATCCATAATAATGATGCTAATAATAATAGTACAGTGCCAGGGATGGTGGCACACATCTTTATCCCCAGGATTACAGGTAGATAGGTGGATCTCTGTGAGTTCTAGGTCAGGCTGGTCTACAAAGCTAGTTACAGGACAGCCAGGGCTACACAGAGAAACCTTGTCTCAAATAAATAAATATTTAAAGAAGATGAAAGCTTTGCTTTTTTAGAAATAGCAACAACAGGGGCTGAAGAGACAGCTCAGCAGTAAAGAGCCCATACTACTCTTGCAGAGGACCTAAGTTCTGTTCCTGGCACCCATGTCCAGCAGGTTACATGCCTGAAACTCCAGCCACAGGGGATCCAGTGCCCTCTTCTAGACACGGACAACACACACACACACACACACACACACACACACACACACACCACACATCCACCCCCACACACACCCCAGCCACATGAGATCTGACTGATGGCTTTGTTCTAAGCTTTGTTTGGATTCTTCAGACCCTCAGCAGCAAAACCAGCAGCAGAGCACTGTCTGAGATGACAGTATCTCTCAGGACTCTTTCCTGATACTTTCTACATTCACTTGTTCTCAGCACAGCAACCCAGCAGTGGGCATCCTACAACAGGCACTAGATACCATCTTACCCATCATCTAATGCTCTGCAGCAGATTAGCAATTACAGAGTAAGTTTCAAATCACAGAATCCCAAAGCCCTCCACAAGCTGATGTGAAGGAGGGGCTCCAGCTTTTACTATATCCCAATCTTTTACATTTCTCTTTCAGGTACTTTTCTCCTGATTACAGAATGAATGATTTTAAAACTGAAGATTCTAAAATATACAATATGAACGCTAATAACACCAGCAACGGGGAATCCTCTCTTTTAACTCCTCCCCACAAATGTTGCAAAGTTGACCTTACTAGAAATAACATTCTTTGGGGCTAGAGAGATGGCTCAGCTGTTAAGAACACTAGCTGCTCTTCCAGAGGACCTGGGTTCAATTCCCAGTACCCACATGGCAGTTTGTAACTGTCTATATCTATAGTTCCAGGGATCTGACACCATCATACCTATGCACATAAAATAAAGTTAAATAAATTATTTTTTTTAAAAAAAATAGCATTCTTCATAGAACTCTTCATGGGTAAGGTCTCTGGATCTATGCGTTAATTTTTCTAATCATTACCTAACATCAACACTAGAGGGCAGAAGAGGCATGCAGTGGACCGGTTATAGTCACTTATGAGGACAAAAGGGATGGTAGGACACTCAAATAAAATACAAAGTAAAACTTTGACATCTAACTCATACTTGAAACGAAAGAGTAACTGCCATAATAAAACACATGAATGAAGCTGATGCCATTTCAATTTTATTCAGTCAGAAAAACCACAAGGGAAGAATTTTAGTTTGGTTTACTGATGACTCCAAATGTCCCAAACCTACTTGACTCATAGATAACTATTGCTGAATCAGTGATCTGAGGCATTACATATTTGAGAAAAATACTACAAGATGCTAATACTAGCATCCAGGACAAGTTGAGAGATGCCAGGCAAGTGAGTTTGGCGAATGCTTCCTCATCTGTGGGAATGGAAAGAGTGCGATAACTAAGTTTAAGATAAAAAGCATAGCTAAGAATGGTCCCTAGAACAGAGGAAGTGCTCTGTAAATATTAAATAAACAAATTTGGTTCAAAATAAATACAATTTTTACTCCCAAACTCAAAAGTCGTAGTGTTGGAAAACTAACTCGAACGATAAGCTCAAACACGTTTCACCAACCGGGGTGATGACAATGGAGAGGCTGAGGCAGAATGACAAGACAGATACAGCAAAACATCACCTTTAAAAACAAAGTTACCAAATACCTACTTATTCCATATTTCCTCTTTTGGAAAGACATCTTTGTGAAGTACTTGGAACAAGGCCTGGAGCTAAAGACTTCTTTGCCAGCTATTATTAAGCTGTTATTATTAAGGCTTTTTTTTTCCTTGTGTAGTGTTGGGGATAGAACTGTATGTGTATGTGCTACGCCCAGTCCTCTACCAACGTGTTACGGGGGGGGGGGTTAGTTAATCCCCTCAACAAATGAAGTTACCCGGAAGAGTTTGCCAAATGTCTGCGTTTGCGGGTAAAATGGCACCAAGTTATGAAATGTTTTCTAAATATAAAGTGCTGTAGTGGTTAGGAGAAACGCATTATTCGTGAACGATCGCTTCCTGCAGTGAGTGTGGGCACCGGGTACAGTCCTGCTCTCTTAAGAGATGAACTTCACACGGAAAACCGCTTCGGCTAGCCTCGATAGCGAGAAGCAGATCGAGGTCACT